TTAGAAAAAGAGTGTCTTCAGGTAATTTATTGAGTACGGTATGAGTATAAAAGGGCTTTGCAGCAGAATTATTCTGAGAATTGTAAGGTGAAGACAAGTCCTGTGCGGTCCAAGGGCTGCCCTGTAGAACTTTCTGTGGTGATAGAAATGTTCTATATATGCACCATTCTGTATGGTAGCCACTAGACATATGTGGTTGCTGAGCACTTGACATGCGGCTAGAGACTGAGGAATAGAATTTTATGTTTAGATGGCTACGTGGGGGTTGGTCGCTAGTGTATTGGATAGCACAGGTGTGAGAGAATACACCTTTGTATATACTTTGTTACTGTTCATTTTACATAAGGGTTTTTTTTTTTTTTTGTAAAATTTGTGTGTAAAACTGCTTTTGACTACGTCTACTCCAAGAACTTAAAACCATGTCTACAAAACTATGTCCACTCACTGCCCATGTTGTGTTCTGAGCCTTGGGAATTTTTGTCCTCAAAGGAGAGTGCCATATGATTGGTATTTGGTGCAATCAAATATGCACTCTCCTCCCTGACGGATCTGCCCAGATACGCTTTCTCCTGAGTCCCCATCAGGGCTGTGCGAACTTCCCTGAGATAACTCAGCTGTGGCTGAGCACACATCTCTGACAAGAGCTAAGTCCACTTTGCAATAAAGCTTTATAAAGCACTATTTCAGTTCCTGCGCTGCTTGTTCTCACTATGTCGCCCTCTGGTTGGTCCTCCATACTGCAGTTCACCTTATCATCCAGGAAGCCCGCTCACATTTTATCTGCATGAAACTAGCTGGGCGGATATCGAAGACAACCAGTTAGATGGGTCTTTCGTTCTGTGTGCTACGAGTACCACAGGTGGGTACTGGGCAAGGCCTGGGTGCTAGGTGCTATAAAAAAATGTAAGAATGGGTTATCACAAAGATCAAGGTACATTACCTGATAAAAGATGTTGAGCCACAGCCAGTGAGTGACAAGAGGCCGTCGGGGAGATATTGTTTGGATGCCAAAACTTTGGAATATCAGCCACAGATTTTGTTATGGCAGGGTCTTCAGATAGAGGTGGTCTGTGAGCTGAACTAAAGTGTCCTGCTTCTAAAATAAAGAAGTGGCTGCCTTTTCACAATTTCCATAAACATTTAAATTAACAGCATTTCACAGTGCTTTTTTCTTATTGCTTTGCTTGGTTGTCTGTTCCTACTGGTCTATCCTGGACTTAAGTATGAGGCAGCTCTTGATTTAGCACAAAATTATGTATTAATTGATTTGAAGTTTAATCCTTTAATGGTTCATGGAGTTCCACACCAAGCAGCATGGCTTGCCAAAGTAACACACAGTCGTTGTCTCAACAACCACTGAAGACAGGAAACAAGGCAAGATGACCCAAGGTTCCTTGAGTGGTACCGGTGTGTGGCACTCAGCCCCAGAGAGGGCTCTGCTGCTGGACTAGGCTTCATGGAGAACTCTGAGGTGGAGTAGACTGGAGCAGGACCTTGGGAGGCAGAGCAGGGACATCTGGCCTGCACTGGCAGGTAGGAAACCATGCTTGTGTTTTGCAAGGAAAGTTGAGTGGATCAGAAGACAGAACCAGATGGCCCATACAGAAAGTGAATGGCTAGAAACAAAGGTTGGAGTCACATTATCAAGGAAGAAGGGAAAAAGAAGGGACTATTCGGATTTCTCACCAATTAGCTGATTTAAAATCTTCACAATCGCTCCATAATAGAAGCTGTGTATTAACCAGGGCATGCTCAGCTAGAAGAACAATCCAGTCTGGGTTAGCTTAAACCAAAGAAGAGAATGCATCACAAGACCCAAAGGGTTAAAGTGTAGTCAATTTAAATTGGTATCCACCTACTGTCCAGTGACCTGCAATCAGGGGGCCAGAGTTCTACTACACAGATATGGCTACTTAGGGATGCTGTGTCTGAGTGGGTACTGCGTTCAATAGGAAACAGAATATTGTAATCCTTAGAGCAACTGTTAAAAATGTAATGCGAAGAACTGTAACTTAAAAACCAATAGGTAAGTTAAAATGGAATTATATATAAAATTAAAATTGGAAGGGCAAAGACCAGATATATAGATTTGCTTGGTCTTAAGAATTGCTTAAACTGGGTGATGTATCCATGGGCTCATTATTCTACCTATCTTTGTAAATGTTTAAAATTCTCCATAATAAAAGGTTTAAAAAATACATGTATTCACACAGGGTCCCTTGGTCCTTCTGTTCCAATCATCATACATGCTTTTCTAGATGAAAAACAGAGTTCTTCTCCATGCAGTGAAAGTACAACCACTTAGACCCATTAAGTAGAAAGCTTTAGATTTGGTAAGCGTTATTGTCACAGTTGCAGTTGAGTAAGAGTCCTGGTATTTCCTTGCAATTTTGATTTATTGGGTCTGAGTGGGATTTGAAAATGTATCTGATTTTCTACACACAAGTCCAGTGACACTGATGCGTATTCAAATTTGGGGAGGCACAGCTTCAAGGGATAGATCCTCTGGATTATTATGTGCAAGGAGCCCCCCATCAGTCCTGTCCTTGGCTTGGGTACTTCCCTGCTATCGGACTCAAGCAGCATGAGGATGTGGCACTTTATGCACAATCTTAACTACATCAATGCATTGTGAGGCATTCTGCCACTTATTCTCATTTTGTGATTCCAGCATAGTTATCTTTTTCTTGGGCAGCTGATTTACAGGAGAGCCTCTTGCCATTTAAATTGCTTTCGTTTCGAAACATAAATCTCATGGGTGAGTTTTCTCTCCACGTAGCACACTCCGCTTACAGGTTGTCTGCGTCTTTCACCAGGAGAGCTCCCTTCTTCCTTCTTGGGGGCGGCTTCACAGGCACGTGGCCAGAGTCATCACAGAGGGCCCCACACCCAGTGGGCCTCACATGTGGTTGAATGCTCTCCTGTCACTGTCTGAAGTTCTTAATTTTGTCTTTGAACTTGTGTTTTGTAAGTGAAGTCTGGTAAGACAAAGGCACACACAGAGGAGCAGAGGAGATCCATGCAGTGTGTCCACTGTTCCCCACCACCCCATTCGCTTAGAGCCGTCGTGGTGCCTGCATGCACAGAATTCCAGCAGACCCACCATGTCCCGGTTGAGAAGAGATTCAAAGCATAAGCAAGTTATTCCTACAACTGAGTAAGTGGGGGCACTGAGAGCCCCAAGAGGCCACGCTTTCCATTTGAACCAGACTTGATTTGAATGCGCAAAGAAGGTAATGGCATTCTAAGAAACATGAATGACCGTGGAACCTGGTCATAGCCTTTTTCTACTCATGTTACTTTTAAGTTTTTAGTTTACTCATGTCATTTTCCTTCGTTAGCCACCCACATCTGCTGAAAATGATGACTTAGGAAAAAAAAAACATAGGGCAGCTCCTAGTTTTTCTTTTAGTCCTTCCTTACTCATCAGTAAGCTGCAAGAGTGTTGATAGAATGTGTACATATCAAGAAGTGAAATAATAGTTGAGCGAGGTTTTTTTTTTTTTTTTTGGAGTGTTTCCTAATAAGGACAAAATACGTATATATATACACCACATGTATACATAAGCTATGAAATGTAACTTGTTTAATTTTGGTGATTCTGCATGAGTTCTCTGCTCTTCTAGTTGCATTTAAAACTGGAATGGTGTACTATAAAGAGGAATAAAATTAACGCTAATGATTTAGAATTTAAATTTTTCGTTACTTAGGACAGCACTAAGTAGCAAGTAAAAACCCACAACAAGATGTGAGAGATACCATGGAAGAAAGTGAGAACATTTTAGTACTTTTTTAATGGTACTATTTTCCTAATTTTTGGACACGAGGCCCCCCCATCTTCATTTGGCACTGGGTCCTGCACTCAGGTAGCCAGCCCGGCTCTTCACTGCTCTCCTTTCCTTTGCGGAGCCCCCTCCTTCTCTATTCTATAGCCTTTTGAGGACTGCCAGTGATGTGAAGGGCACCGCTACACTCTGGTTCCTCTGCGGCTGTACCCGTGAAAACTGGAACAGGGCCAGGACTGACTCCAAAGGGATTCAGGGGATGCACCGGCCCTGGAGGCCGGCCTGCCGTAGTAGACGGTGACCCGCCTGCTCAAACCCCTTCTAACTTTGGTCTTAGACCAGCAACCACATGCTGGACTCACTGATCTGGTGCTGTTGGCTCTCCCTTTCATTTGATCAGTTCTGGCAGAAAAATTCTTCTAATAGACTAAACTTGAGCTGTTATCCTTGATAGCTTGGTCCCTCTTTGTCCCTTTCTGCCACTGCATGAATTGCTGAGAGCTGGGAGTAGGCAGGGCAGATGGAAAGCTCTTGTCGACAGTGGTTTCATAAGAACTCTTTATGTGGAGTCCTGTAAGACAGTGCTTGGGAGTTTGCTTTTCGTTTTTAAATGGTTCAAGTAGAGAATTACCTCCTCTTAAAAAAAAAAAAACAACTAAGATAGTTTTGGCAATGTATAAACATCACACTGCAAAACTGGAAACAACAAACTTTATAGGAAACTGAAAAGGACCAGTGAGAATTATGAAGAATAAAAAGAACATACACAATTGTACCTTCAAGAATTTCCATGGAACATTATGACCCATTAAATTAAGGTATCCACATTCTCTAACAAAAATGAACTGATCTGAGTAAGGACAGCATGAAAAGATTCTAATGCAGTGCTGCCCAACAGAACTTTCTGTGATGATGGAAATGTTCCATTATCTCTGTTGTTGAATACAGAAGCTACTAGCCACATGAATACTCACAATGTGGCTAATGCAACTGACAAACTGAGTTTTTTATTTATACAGCCACCTTTGGCAAGTGATTACCAACTGAACAGCACAGTTCTAATGCCTCATGGGTCAAAATCAGTGGTTTCTTCAGGGGATTTCTCTAATCACTGCTGAGGGGTGTAGACGGTCGGGGGTGGAAAGAGAGGAAAGCTCTTAGCTCTATTTAACTACTTAAGTTCTGAAACTCTCCACAGCTTTCAGAGGCAAGGGCTGAGGAAAGGACTCTGGGGGAGACCTGAGTATGCCCCTGAACTCCTGGCTAATGCCAACAGGAGTAAAAGGCCTAGGATTTGGCTCACGCAGATGGGAAAAGGCCTATGGTGCCACTCACAGAATCTGAGGCTTGGGCCATCAGTGCATGGAAATTGTTGCTGCAGGGCTGGCGGGGAGGTTGGGGTGCTCACTTCCGGACAGGGTTTCCAGGGCTAGAAGAGGATTTAGAGGTGGAGGGAGGACCCGAGGGCCCTTTCTGGCCACCTGCAGGCTGGACTGGCCCTTTCTTTTTGGGGATTAAGGTCTTGTTCTTGCTCTTGAACACTTTGCTGGGATCCAGCTTGTTCACGAAGCAGTTGGTCTCTTCTGCAAGTAGGTCTGTGTTGTAGGTGATGGGTTTATACATGTTGAACCACTGCTGTAAGGGAGAATTGGGAGAGGTCACAATTCGAAGGAGAAAGGCAATTGTTTATACTCTTCAGTGGGGACCCAGAGGTAGAGAGGTGGGGAGTGAGGCAAAGAGAACAAAAGTTTTTATGAAAAACTGCCTCGAAAATCTGTTAGCACTTCCTTGAGGTGAAAGTGATGGCACACACATTGCTTTATGAGGTTTCATCACCTTTAAAATAAATTCAGCACAAGGACTAAGAAGGCAAGTAAACTTCCTTCTGATCTACTGAGCCCTGAGCATGGGGGTTAGGTCCCAGATCGTCAGTGACCTTCGAATTGTTCTGTCCTCACAGCAGCCACTGCCCGTCAGGTGGCTATGGCAGCACCTCCCCAGAGAAGGTGCATGACAGAGGCCAGTGGCAGGCCTCGGCTGAGGGAAGCTGCTGGTGCTGGTGCTCCTTTCCCCTTCTGGGCAAAGAGCATCACATTTATTGACCTCACGATGTTGACTGGATGGATGTTAGGTGACATTTGGGCAAAGTGAGGCCCACCAGACGAATACATACATGGAGCTGAGTCCCTAGTTCACTGCCACCCCAGCCAAAGTTCTTCCAGGCACACCTGGTCTCAAACTAGGGGCTATATGAGCATTACCAGGCAACTCTATGTTTGAAATGTTGCCCAGATCTGTAATATAAGCAAGGCACATCCATACAATGGAATACTCTGTATCACTAAAAAGGACAGTTCTGTATGTACTGATAGGGAATGAACCCCAAGATGGAGTGTTAGTGAAAAGAAGGTGCATAACGATGTGAATAGTGCACTTGTGATTTAGAAAAAAGGAACTGGGCGCCTGGGTGGCTCAGTTGGTTAAGCAACTGCCTTCGGCTCAGGTCATGATCCAGGAGTCCCTGGATCGAGTCCCACATCGGGCTCCCTGCTCGGCAGAGAGTCTCCTTCTCCCTCTGACCCTCCCCCCTCTCATGTGCTCTCTCTCTCTCATTCTCTCTGTCTCAAATAAATTAAAAAGAAAAATCTTAAAAAAAAAAAAAAGAAAAAAGGAACCAAAAATCATATGCATGTATGCTTTCTATGCAGTAAAGTACCCTGCAAAAAGCACAAGAAAAATGCAAACGGTGGCTGCCTCTGGGGCAGGCTGGGAGGCTGGAGAGCCTGGGAATAAGACTGACTTTCCACTCTTGCTGTGTGCCCGCACTGCCTATCTAAAACCAACACTCAGACCTAAGCCCCCAATAAAATTTAATTAGAAGGAAAACTCCCAGGTGATTCTGAGGATCAGCCAAGTTTGGGAACCACTTAGTTCAATATTAAGTGAGGCTATCCACCTACACTGGCGCCATCTGCCTTGCTTAATGAAAATGCAGGTTCCTGGGCTCCACCCCAGGTCTTCTGAATGGGACGGGGAAGGTGGGACTCTGCAATTTAAGCACTTCCTCAGAGATTCTGATACAGTCCACAGTTTGAGATGGCACGTGTTTCTCCCTTACCTTGGCCTGTGGGCTAATGCCATAGCTGGTGAAGGCGTACTGCCACTGCGGCAGGCCCAGGTGCGTGATGAGCAGGCGATAGTAAGCAGTGAAGGAATCGGTGAGAAAATGCCAGTATAACGCTCTGTCCAGGAACCAGATCTCAGCGTCTTGCGCTAACGCTGAAATAGCAAATGAATGGAAGAAATGAATGGATGGCATAATACTTTTCTCCTTCTATCTGTAAAGTCGATATACTCTCATGGTTAAAAAAAAAGAAATTCTAATAGTGGAAGGATGTAAAATACAAGTAAGAGTTCCTTTTTACCCCTTCCAACCTCCAGGCCCATGCTCCCGTGGCCACTGTTAGGGGTTTTACTGGTCTTCTTGTACAAATCCCTGATCAGTCAGCCGACTGACTTGTGCGCTGGGCGTTGGCCATCTGTGCATTCAGGCTGACTATTCAGCAGCCTCCTGCCCCAGTGGGGACAGACTGGGGTCTCAGCTTTCCTGATGGAGACAGACTCTGAAAGCCTCTGATTCTTTTTTTTCCTTTTTTTTTTTAAGATTTTATTTATTTGAGAGAGAGAGAGAGCCCTAGTGAGAGAGCACAAGCAGGGGGAGCAGCAGAGGGAGAGGGAGAAGCAGACTCCCCAGTGACCAAGGAGCCCGATGCGGGGCTTGATCCCAGGACCCTGGGATCATGACCTGAGCCGAAGACAGCTGCTTAACCGACTGAGCCCCCCAGGCTCCCCAAGGCTCTGTTTTTCTGAGGGGGTCTCCATCAGGAATCTGAAGGGCTGTGAGCAGCCACTGTGGGGGAGCACAGACCAGCTCCTGTCCTGGATCCTGCCTGTGCTGTTGCGGGAGGTCCGGGCGGAACTGAAACAGGCACGGTCACAGCAGCTCCAGCCTCGCACTCACTCCTCACCTTTCGTTCTTCCTCCCGCAGGCCTCTAGTTCGTCTCCTGTCTAATGGCTGTAACGGCTCCCTCAGTGGCCCACACCCTCCAGTCTCTTCCTCTTCCAAGACTGCCTGTGCAAACGGGCATTTCCACCTCAATTCGGCCGTTCCTTTACTGAACAACCTGGACTTCCCACTGCCATGTCCCAACTCCTTCCAAGCTGTGCATGGCTTCTGGCTTCAACTCCTCACCCACAGGATGAACCAGGTAGCCCTATGATTTGAAATTGTCATGCCTTCCAAATCAGTTGCACTTTCCCATGGCATAGCTTTACCCAGTCTCTTCGCCTGGATGTTCCCCTTACCGCACAACCCCTCCTGCCCCACCCCTCCGCATAACCCAAGATGTGGATGAAAGGCTACTTTGCAAAGTTGGTCCCTCCTTCCTCTAGGGGTAAAATCCTGGCGTCTCTATTTTCTCACCCCGACAGACTGAGAGCTACGCGAAGAGGGCTGGGCCTTGTCCACCGTCCCCAGGGCAGGGCCTGAACTGGTGACAGCTGCTGTTCCGGGGACCAGAGCCTTCCCCTCTTGATTTCTCATCTGAGGTCTTAGATTGAGGTCTACTCATTCAGGTTTTTAGGTTGTTAACTTGCCTACAGAGAGAAGTATACAGGAAAGATAATGCTTTTCCTGGATGCTTTTCTAATGCATGAGCCTGCTACAGGAGTCTATAAACACAATGACTATTTCTTTTAGTTTTTACTCACTTATTTTCGTACTCCCATTATTTTGCAGTAACTCACAAATGATGACAGCTTAAAGACTCTAGCGATTGGCCAAGAAGGGGATGTTCAAGGAGGACCAAAGGGGCTTTCTGGATCTTTACATCACCAAGAGACCTGGCCGCATCTCATGGGTCCAGAGGAGTGTGCCTTTTGTGTCATGACTGCAGAGCAGGGTCATCCATGCCACACCCAACTGCAGGACCATGCTTGTCAATGATTCTTACCTGGTTTCCCTCTTTTGTAGACAAGGCAAACCTTCCCATTCCCATTGCAAGGATCCAGCTCAAATATCACACTGCGAGAATCAAAGTGAGGCTTCTCTGGCTGGTTCTCACTGGCTGCAAACCCAGAAGTTAATAGTTATGTTCAAACATACTCAACTCAAACACATACTTATCCAGCATTGCTAGGGTAGGGGGGGAAAAAGGGAAAAAGCCTTATCTCAGACATATTCTTAACTACTATTTCCAATGTGGGCCAAATGAAATTTTTAAAGATTTATTTCAGAGAGACAGAGAGAGAGCGAGCGAGTATGGGGGGGTAGAGAGAATCCTCAAGCAGACTCCCCACTGAGCGTGGGACCCTGAGATCATAACATGACCTGAGCCGAAACCAAGAGTCGGACACTTAACTGACTGAGCCACCCAGGTGCCCCCCAAATGAATTCTATACTCTAAACGTCCAGGATCTTATCCATGGGCTAAGCCTTCTGTCTGGGCTTCTCTATCACAGGGTCACAGAATCTAAGGGAAGGTGACACAAGGAATACAAACTGAACTTGCTGAAGTGGGAATACATAAAGGCAAAGTAATTTGGCCTGATGTTGACGTCTCTTTTTCCCAGATAATCGCTTTCCCCTTATTTACAGCACTTTATGATCTTTTGATTAGAATCCCTTTTCCTTGGTCTAAAATGTATGTATAATATTTAATATTAATTACATTATAATTAATGATAAGCCTGGCTCAATTAGAAATACCTACCTAATAATTAAATACAATGGAGTACCAGGAAAAAGAGACATTTTTAGAAATACAAGCATCAGAAACTTTCCTGCTTCTTTCATTACAGCTATTATGTAATAAAGATGAGTATTAGTGACTGAGGGTGAGAGTTTACAAACCTAGGAGAGACTGGATAAAACAAAGTCTATAAAAAGACTATTTTTTACTTACATATAGCCATACATATAATTTTATACAAATGCATAAATATTTACATTTCTAACTAAAAAAATGTTTTAAACATGGCCTTCCCTTCCCACTTTAATACTCTTCTTAATTTCATGTGGTCCTCAACTCATGGAGTATGAAAGGTTCTGTCTGGCTTCCTGGCTCTACACTGTGGATTGGAAAACTCTCTTGAGTCATAAGCTGAGGTTCCTCTTCTTTATTTCCATCTCTCAGGCTCATTGTCCTTCATTGCCCGATGGTCAGTGTCTTGAAATCCATTTTTATATATCTTCTCTGTTGTTGTTCCAGGAGGGCAGATAAATTAGGTCTGTGACTCCCATCTTGGGTGAGATCCAAAGTGTAGACTGTAGGGTCCCACCAAGTTTCAGCAGCCTTGCCCTGACTGATGCTAACTGGGGTCTGCCTGCAGGTGAAAAATTACAAAATAGGAAACTCCTTTCTGCCATTTGTAGATGTCACTCCAGTTTCTGCTCATTTTTGGTTATTCTCCAATCTTTTTAGGTCATTGTCCCCAAAGTTTTCCCAGAGTTTCGAGTAGTCTTGACTTGGTAAAAGGTACTCTGCCATTACCAGGAGGAGGAAGTATTTGAATCTTTTGCTTCCTTTTTTGCCAAATATGCAATGTCACTATTTTTAGTTTCTCACTGAAATTTTGGTTTAGTTTTATCCCCATGTATGCATTAGCACATTGTTGTGTCTAATAATTTCACTCTTGGGAGTACTAGTGGATCTCTTTCTTGTTACCTGTTATTTGTGCTAGTTTTGTTCATGGCATTGTGTTTTTTCATGTGCCTAGTTATTTTTTAGAAGGAAGTGTTTTTGAAAAATTATTTATAAAAACAATTTGAGGTCTAAGATACTGTTATCATCCTCTAGGGTAAAATTTTCTTTTTTATATAAGAGCTTTACTGAGATAATTCACCTACCATACCACTTACTCATTTGAAGTACACAATTTAATGGTTTTTAGTATATTTACAGTTATATAACCATTAAGACAATCAATTTTAGAACATTTCTCTAGAGTGAATTTGTTTCTGCTAGGCCCCTGAGGAGATTAATAACCTGGAGTCAATTTAGTCTAATTTTCCGATTTAACATTTTCTGGGCCACACAGATGACTTACAATGGTTACTTCTGTTTTTTTCTGTCTCCTGGGTACTGCTCTTCATGGTGCCAACCCCAAAAGTAGGTAGTTTTTATGGGTGCCATCCTTTGTCAGGCCTGGACTCTGTTTTATTCCCCTGGTCTCAAAATGGGACAAATTCACAGCTTTCCAGCATCCTCATAGCCTGTTGTAAAAAGGGCAATCAATGTATCTCAAATACTGAATCTCTTCTCCCCTGGATTTCTGTCTTCTGGATTTTGATCTGATATTACCTCATCATCCTGTTAGCTCTTTGATGTTTTTAGCAAGGTGGTTTTTATATTTTGCTGACTTCTCAGTTGTCTTCAGTAGGAAGGCTTCTCTGAATTACCTGTCTACCATTTGCAGAAGAGGAAATCTCTTCGTCAGTTTAAGTATGCTCCTAAAAATAACACATAGATGAACTTGCTTTTTATATCAATCTGACAGTCTTTGTTTTTCAAAAGGGAGATTTAATCCCAGCACATTTAATATTGTGATTGATCAGTCTTATTTCTCCTAATGTTTTGTTTCCAAATTTATGTTTCTTCTTTTCTCTTTTTTTTTTTTTTTTAAATTTATTTGACAGAGAGAGACACAGCGAGAGAGGGAACACAAGCAGGGGGAGTGGGAGAGGGAGAAGCAGGCTTCCGCCGAGCAGGGAGCCCGATATGGGGCTTGAACCCAGGACCCTGGGATCATGACCTGAGCTGAAGGCAGACGCTTAATGACTGAGCCACCCAGGCACCCCTTCTTTTCTCTTATTTTTCCTCCTGTGATTCAATATTCCCTTATTAGGTTGGAGATTTAAGGTAGATTTTTATTCCTTTAGTGGTTATCTTCCTGTTTTTTTGTTTGTTTGTTTGTATGATTAGATCAATAAGACTTTACCCTTATCTGAAAACAATAGACCATTATTTCTCCTAACCGAGTATGGGATGCAGAATTCTAAGGCCCTCAAGATTCCTGCTCCTTGGTATCTATACCTTGCAGGACCTCCTGCCCTTGAGTATAGTCAGGATCTGCGAATATGATGTAGTAGTCACTCCCTTGATTAGCTTACATGATAGGAGACTGTTGCAGCAGACCGAAGAGGCATTTCCCTGCTGGCTGAGAAGTAAACTGCGATGTTGTGAGAGGGTCACGTGGCTAGAATCTAAGGGGAGCCTAAAGATGCTGAAGAGTGAGCCCTAGCTAAAAGCCAGCAAGAAAATAGGGACTTAAGTCCCACAACTGCAAGAACCTGAGTAAGGCCAACCACTAGTGAGCTTGGAAGAGGCCTCTGTGCCTTGGATGAGATCATAGCACCAGGTGACACTTTCATTTTAGCCTAAAGACCCTAAGTGGAAGACCTTACTTATTAGTGGCTGAATTCTTGACTCATGAAACTGTTAGATAATAAATTTGTGGCGTTTTAAGCCATTAAATTTGTGGTAATCTATTATACAAAAATAGAAAGCTCAAACAAGACACTCTTGTTTCCCCCAACAAGGTATACTACTTCTTCCCTGTAGTAGGAGACCTTCCACTTTCTGCTTCTTTTCCTCCTTTGTCCTACCTTTTCTACTATTAAAGACCCCAAGAACACTCTACATATTAATTGCTAGGGCTGCTGTAACCAAGTACCAAAACTGAGTGGCTTGAACAACAGAAATTTGTAGTCTCACAATTCTGGAGGCTACAAAGCCAAGATCAAGGTGTTGGCAGAATTGGTTCTTTAGACGGCTGTGGGGAAACAATCTGTTCGATGCTTCTCTCCTAGCTTCTGGTAGTTGACTGGCAAATTTAAGCTTTCCTTAATGTATAGAAGTCCCACCCATCTCTGCCTTCATCTTCAAATGGCATTCTTCCTGTATTTCCAAATGTCTTTAAGGACATCAGTCATATTGGATTGGGGGCCACCCTACTCTAGTATGACCTCATCTTAACTACTTATATCTGCAATAACCCTATTTCCAAATAAGGTCACATTCATTCTGAACTGGGGGTTAGGACTTCATTTTATGAATTGGGGGGGGAGCATAATTTAACCCATAACACTTTTACATCTTTCCTCTTTCTTTTAGGTTTAGCTGAAACAGTATACAGTTGACCCTTGAACAACACGACTGAACTGCATGGGCTCACTTATACATGGATTTTTTTTACAGTGTTGTCAATGTATTTTCTCTTCCTTACAATTTCCATAACATTTACTTTTCTCTTAATTTATTGTAGGAATAGTGTATATTACACATAGCATACAAAATATGTGTTAATTGATTGTTGTTGGTAAGGCTTCCAGTCAATAGTAGGTTATTAGTAATTAAGTTCTGGGGGAGTAAAAAGTTCTATTAGGATTTCTGACTACATGGAGGGTCAGTGCCCTTCACCCCCACATTGCTCAAGCATCAACTACAGTAGGTTTTACAATATTCCTTGCACTGTGTCCCTCTTTCCAAGAGTTTTTTTTTTTTTAAAGATTTCTGAGAGCACATGCCTGTGGGGTAGGGGCAAAGTGGGGGGACAGAGGGTGAGGGAGAGAAGCAGACCCCTGCTGAGCATAAAGCCTGATGTGGGGCTCAATCTCATTAACCTAAGCCAAAATCAAGAGTTGGATGCTCAACTGACTGAGCCACCCAGCTGCCCCCCAAAAGCTCTTAAGTAATAATTACATAACACAGGGGCACCTGGGGTAGCTCAGTCAGTTAAGCATCTGACTTTGGCTCAGGTCATGATCTCAGGGACCTGGGATTGAGCCCCACATCTGGCTCTGCACTCCGCAGGGAATTTACTTCTCCCTCTCCCTCTGCCTCTCTCCCCTCCCCGAGCCTGTGCTAGCTCTCAAATAAAATCTTTAAAGTTATACAACACATTGCTATCTTGATAGATTCCTATCTCTTAAGATTAAATGCACGCATAACCCCTTCGTGGGAGGGTCACTGATCCCTTGTTTCCTTTTCTCCCACATCTTGGGACCTCCATTCAGTCTCATTTGTCTTGTGGTTAGAGTAGTAATGTTCTTGAAGTTTTACACATC